TTGCATTAAAGTTATGAGTTGCCTGGCTGCCATAGGCATATGCTAAATAACATTTTTTAGCCTTGAGGTTTTCCAAATGACAAATTGAGGAAACATTTTCGCAACATAATTTCTCATTTATACTTGTGCTTCCTGGAGCCTGGTTCCCATGATCCTTTAGTTCTGGATCCCCCGCAGTCCAATCAAATTAAATTCTGAGAAGACCTTTAGCAATTATTTCCACAAAAAAAACTTCTGAAAAATAAAGTCCTGGGCTCAAAAACATGATCGGCTGCCCGACCGTCATTTTGTTGTGTGCTTCCTTTCCAGAGTGTGAGCAGAGTAGAGTGTTGCTGGTGGTGGTGTTTTGTTTTTAGCAGAGTAACTAAGCACAATAAAAAAATGTTTAGCTGTTTCTTTTACCACCATAGACTTTATTATCTCCAATTTCTTCCCTCCCAATCCTTGCATATGTTTCTTTGATATTTTTTCAATAGTTTTATTGTGCAATATAGTGAAGACATAAAGAGCAGATAGCTTTTCTTTTCTTTGTATTTTATCATCATAATTGCTTTCCTGCCTTATTTTATTTATTGCTTATTCATTCCAAGTTGGGGGCTACTGAACGCAGCTTAAAAAGTCAAATATTTCTACAAGACATAGTTCATCCTCCTAACTATCGAAGCCACCCTCTCCTGTCCGGCTTTGTGTCCCTGCTTCATCTCTCTCACTCTCAAAAGCAAGCAATCACTTTTTAATATTTGAGTTACTATTCAACTCCATTGCTAAATGAGCAGCATGTTTATAGATTTACTACATTTTTTCCAGTTCTAGCTTTTATACAGAATTATTATTATTAAAAAAAATGAAGGATTTTTCTTTCCCAGCTCTCCTGGCTTGCTTACATTTGCCCTTTTCACTGTATTCCCAATAATCAATATGTAAAATAATAATAATTATAAGGGGGAGATCAACAGTTATTATTTATAGAATGACAATGAAAATATGATTCTTGTCCTTCTCACGAAGTATACAATAATTTTATTGCTGTCTTGCACAATTTCTTGTTAGCTTTAAAACAGATATTTGATTATAAAATTCTTGTTTTTATCCTGTGTGTCTAGCATTCTACAAAGCTGAATCCTCTAAAATGATGGCAAATATACTTTTAGTCCAGTAACCCATATCTAGGATCCCCATGCTATCCTAGACATATGTGCCCATCCTGCACCGGTCTGTCAGTTTGTTGTACTGTGGTGGCATCTGCTTGCTGTGATGATGGAAGCGATGTCACTGGTGTTTCACATACTAGCAGGGTCCCCCAAGGTGATCAGGTTTCCAATAGAACTTCTAGACTAAAACCAGACTTTGAAAAAGGAATAGGCTGTCCACTTCAGAGGAATTAATTTCGAAAACCTAATGAATAGAAGCAGAGCATTTTGAGACACTAAAATATCTCATTAAAAATAGCAGAATGCCATCATATATGGTGCTATTATATGGACCTCTTAGTTTGTAAGGCACTCAAAATATGACTGAAGAAAAGCTGCCCTCTCAAAATAGAATCGGCATGACATGGATGAGTAAGTTTTGGGGACCTTCATTTGCTGATGGGGCAGGGCTCAAAATGCAAGGAAACAGCTGCAAACATCAATTACTAAATGGTACTTGGAATGAATGAAGTATGAAAAGTAGGAAAATTGTGAGTTGTCAACAATGAAACGGGCAACATAAAGACTGATATGCTAGGCAAGACAGCTAAAACGGACTGTTATTGGCCATTTTGAATCAGACCATCATAACATGTACTATACTGGGAATGACAAAGTAAAAAGAATGGCACCAGGTTCGCCATTATAAATGGACATTTTATGATCAATATTGAAGTACAATGCTGCCAGTGATAGAATAATGTCAATAAGCCTACAAAGAAATTCAGCCAATACAGTTATTATTAGAATTACTCACAAACCATTAAAGCCATTGATGAAGAAATTCAATAATTCTACCAATGTATTTAGTCTGAAATAGATTAAACATGCAAACAAGACGCATTGGCTGTTTACAGTGTGAACATCATAAACAAAGAGAAAGGAATGGTAATTGCAAAACATGACCATGGCGATGTAACTGGAACTGGAGATTGCATAATAAAAATTGTTCATAGAAAATACATTTTTTCAATAACATGTGGATTTCTCCAGACAAAATATACAATTGATCTGTGAGACAACATGATGGAAAAGCTCAAGATCAACAGGTAACACAATGTCGGGAACTGACTGTGGAACGCATTCATAATCATTCATATGGAAGTTCAAGTTGAGGGTGAAGAATATTAAAACAGGTCCATGAGAGCCAAAGTAAAGCCCTGAGTATATTCCACCTGAACTTCAAAATCATCTCACGATTAGATTTGACTCACCGAACATTAAGGACAGGAGACCTCTGAACCATGTGATGGCATAAGATACCCTCATACATGGAATATCAAAAGCACATTCAAATTAAAAGGGGAAAAAGGAAAAGATCAAAGTGCATGTCAGAGGAGATTCTGAAACTAACTATTAAATGGAGAGTAGCAAATTCAAACTGAAAAAATGATGACGTCAAAGAGCAGAACAGAAATTTTCCAAGGGCAGATTGAGAAGACAAAGTACCACATTATAAGGAGATGTGCAGAGAAATAGAGTGAGAAAATCAAAAAAGAACACACTGGGCATATCTTAACCTGGAAGAACTAAAGAAAATGCATGCCTTGTGTTTCAATATTAAAAAGTTATCTGGGAAAAATATTGAATGATGGAGGAATAATCCAAAGAATACACAGACTCACTCTACCAGAATGAACTAATCACCATTTAATCATTTCAAGAGGTAATATAGAAACAAGAACCAATGATATTAAAAGAAGAAGTTCAAGCTACACTGAAGACATTAGTCACAATCAAGGGTCCAGGAATTGAAGGAATACCGATGCCATTTAAAATGTTCTAACAATTTGATGAGGCACAGGAAATGAATGCCAAGAAATTTGGAATAGAGATACTTGGCCAACTGGTTGGTAGAAATCCATATTTGTATCCATATTTCAAGGACTAGTGACCCCACTAAATTCATAAATTATAGAATAATGCTAATATCACATGCAGGTACATTTTTCTGAAAATTATTCAACAGCTGCTACAGGGACAGGGACAGTCAGAAATTTAAGCCAGATCCAGACAAGAGACCCTATTCCTTATGTCAAATGGATCTTGACTCAAAGGAAGGAATGCCAGAAAAATGTTTGTTATAGTGTATGCATTATCAAAAAGTCATAACCAACTATGGATAGCATTGAAAAAAAAAACACGGTAATTCCAGAACCATTCACTGTGCACATGCAGAACCTGTACATGGATGGGGTAGCTTCAGACTGCAGTACCTTACTTTTGACTTCTACAGATTAAACTTTTATGAAAGAGGCTGGAGTGTATGAAGAAGAATTCAGCATCAAGACTGGTGGAAGACTTATTAACAAACTTTGATATGCAGATGAGACAACCTTGCTGGCTATCATGAAGACTTGAATTTGTTGCTTTTGAAGATCAAGGATTACAGTCTTCAATATGGATTGCAGCTTAATGTAAAACAAAAACAAAAAACAAAAATCCTCACCAGTTGATAACATCATGATAAAAACTAAAAATAAAATAAGATAAACCCTGACTCTCTGCTATCAAATCTATGCCAACTCAGGGACCCTGTAAGGCAGCTTAAAACTGCCCCTGTGGGTTGCCAAAACAGTAACTCATATGGTAGCAGGAAGCCTCAATTTTCTCCTAAGGAGTTGCTGGTGGTTTTGAACTATGCAACTCAGTGTTAGCAGCCTGACTCATAACCACTATACCACTGGCGTTCCCTAACACTATAATAAATGGAGAAAATAATTGAAGTAGTCAAGCATTTCATCTCAGATCCACAATGAATGCTCATGGCAGTAGTAGTCAGGAGATTAAAAGTCACTTTGTATTAGGTAAATCGGCTTCACAGATGTTACTTCAAGGAGGAAGGCGTGTCTTCAGCAAGCCAGAGTAGTTCCTTTAATTTGTAAAATGCTTCCATTGGGGGCTCTTACATCTCTTATCGCATGCATTTGAAATGACAAGATTTGAAGTTCTACCAGTGAGTGATATTTAGTAACTATTAGAATTGAATGTAGGTACCTCAAGTGGACCTATAGTATCTATTGACCCAGTCTTATTTACTGGCTCTATTGACTTAGTCATATTTCCTCAAGTTGTGTGACGAGAAGGTAGGATTCTTAGAGCTCACTACAGGAAAATACCTCCAGATTCTCAATGTTTCTTAAAGCTACTATAGTTACAATATAGTTACAAAGCAATACTTACTTTGTAATATTGTTACTAAGTAATACTTACACTTTTTGGTAGATCTAAAGTCTCTCTTTTTGGAGACTCATGGTGGTTTTCTGCTGGGGTAAAGGAGTAAACTGTGACCCACCTTGACTCAAGAAAGCGATAGGGATTTCCTTAGAGTCCTCTCTTTCCAGAACTTCCTTTCCCCTCCTTTAATTTTTATGTTGCCAATGACTCACACTGGCTGAGCTGCTGTGGCCCAAACAGCCTTGCTTCTCATTCCACGCACCCGTCCTCCCAGGACACATGCACACACAGCTGGGTTAGCCTTTTATTTCCACAGGTTTGTTATATGTTTCTTGACATCTCCCCATCTTCTTTCTGATTTCTTCTGTTTTCTTGGCCCCCGTAGATTATACTTTATGATGCTTTTGCTTTCTCCATTGTAGTAAACTTTTGTGGAAAGATGGGTAAAGGCATGTGTGTGGACTGGGGTTTATTGTATTTGGGCTTATTTTCTATTATGTAATGCCTCAATCATTTGTTATAAGTGACAGCAAAACAATAAGAGTATAAACACTGCTGATAGTTCAAATATTCATTGCAAAGAACCTGTTTAAGTCACTTACATTTTTATGTGCCATTTTCATTTGAATACAGATGGAAGTTTCAGACACAGCCGATCAAACCTTACCTCTCTGCTTGTGCAGCCCATCTCTGCCTCTCTTGTTGAAAAACTGATCTCCTCTCCAACGCAGAGAACCCAAGACGTAGTCTGCACCCCTCTCATTCTTCCCAGCAATGGTAATGTATTCAATGTGTTGCTGTGTTCCTTGAAGTGATCATTCATATCTATCTATCATCTATCTAGCTACCTATCTAGCTATCTATCTATCATCTACCTATCTTCTATCTATCTATCTATCTATCTATCTATCTATCTATCTATCTATCTATTATCTATCATCTATCTGTCTGTCTGTCTATCTATCTATCTATCATCTATATATCTATCATCTGTCTGTCTGTCTATCTATCTATCATCTATCTATGTATGTATGTATGTATGTATCTATCTATCTATCTATCTATCTATCATCTATCTATCATCATAATTGACCAAATGGTAGTCTCTAGCTACCATTGGTTGTTTTCTTAAAAAACAATTTTATTGGGGGCTCATACAACTCTTATCACAATCCATACATCATCAATTGTGTAAAAGCACATTTGTACATTCATTGCCCTCAACATTCTCAAAACATTTGCTTTCCACCTAAGCCCCTGGCATCAGTTCCTCATTTTCCCCTCCCTCTCCACTCCCCCCTTCCTCATGGAAACTTGATAATTTATAAATTACTATTTTGTCATATCTTGCACTTTCTGACGTCTTCCTTCACCCACTTTTCTGTTGTCCATCCCCTAGGGAGGAGGTTACATATAGATCCTTGTAATCAGTTCCCCCTTTCCAACCCACCCTCCCTCCACCTTCCCAGTATCGCCACCACTCTCAGCACTGGTCCTGAA